CAGTCCTATGGAGACACTGCCTGGTGAGAAATGGAGTTTCTTGCCATCAGCCATGTGTCATCTTGGAAGCATGCTCCTCATCAGCCCAGTAAAGTCTTCAGATGACTACAGCTGCCAAATTGCAGACTGCATGTAGAGGCACCCAGGGGAATTGTCCTCATTTTCCCATTATCTCCTTAGCCACAGAAATGGTGAGGTCCCAGCCCACCTGTTCAGCCCGCCTATTCAGGTGACCAGGAAGACCAGCAGATATTCTCAGAAACACTAGAGTTGGCTCAAGACGTTCTGACATCTCCAAAGTTGGGGTTTCCCCAGGACCTTCTATTGCTCTGATCTCCTCCTCAGTGCTCTCAGCTGCTGAGACCCAAACTCTTGCCTGGACCAGAGAGGAAATGAAATTCTATGCTCATTGTCAGACCTTGGGAATTTGCTCCCAGCGTGCAGATCCTGCTGCTTCCGGACCCCAGCACTCTACCTCTGGAGAAGGAGCTGTGGTTGGATTAGGTAGGAAGGGAAGCCACTTCCTTCCCAGAATACCTATCATCTGCCTCTTGACTTAGCTCCTTGATCCCTGGTGAGAGATGACTCACCACCCTGCAAATGCTCATTGTCTCTGACTGCAGCCTACCTTGACATGGATTATCTGGGCCTTGGGTAGCCTCCTCCACCACACTGTATTCTCCCCAGTGCCCGGAATAGCATAAATCTTCCTTAGAGACTTGGGAAATAGAGCTCATCTTTTCTTATTGGTGGTTTGAGTAAAACAGGCCTTCCCTCTTTCATAGAGAATGTATTTGTGTGCTAAACTTGGATCCTGAAGCATCCTTTGCACTTGGAGTAAATGGAAGTTGAGATGGAGTTGTACCTAAATATCTCTACTCTCTTGCCTGGATTCCCCTCAAGTTAGAGTATTTGCTTCAGAGATTTTCAGAAGGTATAAGTGTGATCCACTGGGCTGGAGAAGAGGGGTAGAGTCTTTGTCTTGTGTAATCCATGTTGATTCTGATACACTTCTAGGAGTCTGGAAGACCATCTTAGTAGACCCCAAACAGTCTGCTTGGACTCTAGGCCTCCCACAGAAGGCCTCCAAGGCCTCCCCTGTTGGGGCTGGTGAGCAACAGTCTGGATCACTGTTTTTCCAAGGGTGTTCTGGTGAGCATTGTTACCATGAACTACTTGCTGCAAAATAAAAAAAAAAAAGCCCAGAGTCAAATATGTTTAGACAACTTGCCCAACTATGTCAGTGTACATTCAGATGCTACATAAACAAACAGAAAGCAAAAAGCCAGCAAAGAAGCCTTTTAAAATCTATCGAACCTAAATTTCCCAGACATACTTGACTGTGGGTCTCATGCCCCCTTTTACCATATAATACTGATCAGCAACCTGTGGGAGGACTTCCTGTGAATAACACTTCAGAAAGGACTAGGATCTGGGAGCTGCCAGTGACTTTGGGGTTCTCATGGAGTTCAGTTTCCCTTTGATTCTAAAGCAGCAGCTTGCAGACTGTGGCCCCCAGACCAGCATCATCTGGGAATTTTTTGGAATCACAAATTCTCAGTTCCTACATAGCCCTGTGAGTTAGAAACCTGGGGTTGGCATTCAACACTGTATTTTAACAACCCCCCTTCCCCAGGTGATTCTAATGCACAAGTGTGTTTGAGAACCACTGTCCTGTTGGGTAAGAAACAAACTCAAGCTACATTCTCTGGATTTAAATTCCACCTCTGCTACTTGGCACCTCGGTGGCCTTGATGCATTTCATACTCTCTCTCTCTGTGAAATAGTACCTATCTCACAAGGATGTCATAAGTGTTAAGTGAATTTTTTTAAATTTATTTTTTAATTGGAGGAAAATCGCTTTACAGTTTTGTGTTGGTTTCTGCCATACAACTACGTGAATCAGTCATAATTATATATATATTCCCTCCATCTTGAGCCTCCCTCCCTTGCCCCATCCCGTCTTTCTAGGTCATCACAGAGTGCCAAGCTGGGCTCCCTGTGTTATATCATGACTTCCCACTGTCTATCTGTTTTAAACATGATAGTGTATATATGTTAATGCTACTTTCTCAATTCGTCCCACCCTCTCCTTCCCCCACATTAAGTGAATTTAAATATGTAAAGCTCTTGGAACAGTAACACAATGTGTTAGTTGTCAGTGAGTGCTTGCTATTATTACCATTACTGAGTAGTTTCTCTGAATTTCCACTAAAAGGGCAAAGTAGGGTCACACAGTTGGCAGGGGTGGGTGTGAGTTGGTGTCACAAAATTTTGCCATCTGATCATGACCTTATAGAACACAAGATGTTCCCGTGGGAGGAGATGTTTTGCACTGTGTCATTCCCGGAAACATCATTTCATTACTGTTCATAGTGATTAATTAAGAACCACCGGTCTTGTGAAGTGAGGAGCTCAGAGGAAGTAGAATCGTTCCAGCTGGATTTTCTGCATTGACTTTAGGCAGTGAATGAAATCTCAGCTTCATCTTCAGCAAATGCCCTCTAATTCTACAGACTGGGCCCTCCTCGGACCCTTGCAGCAATTTAATCTCGTTCTGTTTATGTCACAACAATGACACAGGAGTCTCAACAGCATAGCCAAGTTGCCCTGTGGCAGAGTTGGGATTCGAACCCAAAGGCTAGTGCTCCTAGCACATCATCAGCATGTGTTCCATTTGGAGGGCCTTTAGAGAGCATCAAGTCCAACCCCCTTAGTTTACAGAAGGGGAGACTGCGTCCTGGGGCTCTGTGGCTGATTTAAGATTGCCCAGCATTGGCGTGACTGAGCTACAGCTGGAAGCTGGGTCTCCTTCTCTAAATTCAGTGCCCTTTACTTCAAGATGCAGCTGGCCTCCAGCCTGTCTCTTTCTGGTGCTAGATGCAGCACTGGGGTCAGATCTCAAGGGTATTTCTCTGTTCTTTCCCAACCATAATGCCTCCATGAGCCAGGCGGACCCATCGTCTGTAGTGTGGTGGGGTGGTTGTGCTGCCAGACATGCCCAATCCTACCCAGAGGTCCCATCTGAGGCTCTGGGAAAACCAAACAAAGGTAACTAGAATGTGTCGCAGGGGGCCCATTAGCTTCCTGGAGCCTCCTGAAGCATTCCCAGGAGGAATCTTTGCTGGGAGTGTGTGATCAGCGGCAGACACCATCACAGGCAGCTGCTAGCATATTAATATTCCAGACAAATGGCTTTTGGCTCAGGCAAAAGATCTTGCTTGGGAGCAGGTTTCTCTTTGAAGCTCCTAAGAGGGGCAGCTTGCAGAAAAAGACAGTTTTGCAACATGACTCCATTGGAAACCCTCTGCTCCAATCCGTCTTGGTTTATTTTGTTGCGCTATCTCTCCCACTTCATAGCAGGCTCAGCTGTTCTTGTCCTCAGGGAGAAACTATCCATGATTAGCTGGGACACCAAAACAACCATGCTGGCTCGAGGCAGGAGAAGCAGCCTATCACTGCTCTGGGTTCGAATCTTAGCTCTGCCACTTCCCAGCTGTGTGACCTTGGACACATCACTTCACCTTGCTGAACCTGTTTTCTGGGCTCTAAAATGGGAGTACATACCTTTCCCACATGGTGATTGAGGATTAAATACAACCACGTGTATAAAGTGCTTAACACAGTGCCTGAGGACAGTTGAAGACAGATGCCATTAATACTGAGTGGGAGGCTCAGAACAAGTAGAGACACGGAAGAGTCCTGAGCAGGGCTGGCAACATTAATTTCTCCCCAGCGACCCCTCCTTTTCAGGCTGCGGGAATGGAGAATATGTCCAGATATTTCCACCTTAAAGAAACTCCAGCCTATGGCCCTTCAAACCCAAATTTTATAGGTGGGAAAACTGAGGCTCAGAGAGGGGAAGGAACTTGCGGAACTTTACACAGCAGATTAGATGCTGGAGTGGAGCAAAGCCTTGTTTCTCCCCCATCTTCCTGAGCACCTAAGACGCATTTCCATGGACCACACCACTGAGGGCCTTGCTATCTTTGCCTCAAATCCTTTGCTTCAGAAGGGGCATGTTTGGCATTGCACGTCCACCCCCAGTGGACCAAGCCAGATTCGACCGGCAGAGGGGCCGTGTGGTGTTACCTGGTGGGTAGGTCTACATGGGGGTCTAGGCATCTGAGTAGCTCTAGGGCTCCCCTGTATGTTCTGTAAGTGAATAGACTGGAGGCCTCCTGACCTGGGGGACTGCACCCCTGGGAGGGGCATTGGTTGTTGACCCCTGGGTGACCTTGTCTGAGTCTAAGTTTCCTCATCTGTGTGATGGAGAACAACTCTCCTCTTTTCAGGGATTAGGGTTAGGATACTAGCTGCCAAGCTGAGAATACAGCAGTATGCCTACCCCATCCCTGACTGTAAGGGCTGCTCAGGCAAGTCCAGGAAGTCTCACTGCAACCCCCAGACCAGTGTGGCTGGGTACAGGCTCACCCAGGGAAGGACACCACCACATCACCCGTGGAGACCAGAGACCAGCCTGAAGTGCACATCCAGGCCGTGGTTGGGAGCCCTGTGGCAGGCAGTGACCTGAGGGCCATACCCACCATCATGCTGCGGTGCAACAACCAGTCCCAGTAGCTCTGTTGGCTCCCACCTGCAGTGGAGGAGGGACGGGCTGCCTGGGTGTTTGAGAGGATGCTTCCCAATGCGGTGACTGGCTTCTGGGCCACAGACTCACTCAAGGCTTAGTGCCAGTCCAGGATTTGAGTCGGGAAGTCTCACACCCTCCCAGCCATAACTGTCTTCTTGACCAGGAGAGGATTATATTCACAAGTCCTTCAGGAGGATGTGAACTTGACAGGCCTTGGGAAATGCCACAGCCATTTTCAGTGGTAAGAAAGAAGATGATGGTGATACAGGAAGAGAGGAGGAGAGAGCCACATTGCCCCAAGTTCAAGAAAATCAACATTGTAAAACCCCAACCCTGAACTCTTCTACAAGCGCGACCAGTCCATTCCCTGACAATACCTCTCCTTCCCTCACTTCCCCCCTTACCTTCAAACACATTCATGGTTCAGCCACTGCCCTTCAGTCTGGGGCCAGTCCAGGGCCTCATGCACCACTGCTCCCTTGCCATCAGGGGCCACGATGTAGCCGAAGGACCTCTCACTGTTTGCTGGGCGCAGCTCAAATGGCATGTCCTGGTTCCTGGGTGCAGAAGGCCGATGCCTTGTTTCTGTGAGACCCGCAGGAAATACTAAGGGCCTGGAGTATTAACCATAGTCTAAGCCTCCTGGAACTGTCAGGGAGGATGGAGCCTCCAAAGGACCAAAGTGAGGTCAGGCGAGAGCATGTGCTATGCCATCTTTCGTGGTTTCATTCATGAGGTCATATTCCTGTGCTCCTGAGTTTGCTAAACCTCCTTCAATTCTGAGAGTGTGTGACCCTCAGGCATTCTGTCTCCACATCTATCCCATGCTAACCATCATTTGGAGCATCCTTGGGAAGCAGACATGAGCCCTATTTGCACACATTTTATGATGGAAGACCACTATCTCTCATGTCCGCCATCCCCTCTCCCCACGGCTCTGACCTTGTTAGAAAGTGTTCCTCATGTGAACTACAAACTCAGCCTCCCTGGGGTTGCACCCACTCTCCCCACCTCATAGACCACCATTTAAAGGACACCTTGGAGGTGAAGGATTTCCTGCTGTCTGAGTCCTCGTGAGAAACGTGATGACAGCAGACTTGAGATAGGCGATCTTTCTCACACATCTCTGGGGTCCATGAAGCAAACTGCTGTTTACTCTTTTCCATGGAAATTTCCCATCTCTTGGGGAAGGAAGGAAGATCTGGTGCTATTGGTTAAAAGTACAGAGTGGGGAACTGACTGTCAAAAACCCACATGACTGACTAGTTGAGGAGGCTGAGCTGAGATGTGAGTGATCACCCTCTGGTCCAAGGCTCTCTGATGCTGTGTAGGGCTCAGGGGTCAGATGTAGGGGATTCTGGGATGATCCACGCCCCGACATGGAACTTGGCCCCACCCCACCTTTTCCAAACAGCACTCAGCCTCCACCCTGTGTGACCTTTGGAGGAGGGGACATTTTATTTCTCAGAATAGGGCCAGACAGGCTGCTGGCTTTCCTCCAGCAAGTCTTGGGGCTGCTTCAAGAAGAAATGTCTGGAAATGTGTGGAGTTCATGAGCAAATGGCTTCACGGAAGCGCCTATTAAAATTTCCTCTGCTGAGACTGAAGTAGACAGCATGAAAACCAGCGGGCCTCCCACCTCCCCCACACCCCTCCTGGGTCTCATTCTCCCTCCACTCCCACCCAGCCCTGGAAAACACACACCCTTGTCTAAACACCAGCACCAAGCAGACCCATGCCGAGGCCATATGTGTTAGATTATATTATTGTTTAAAATATTCGCTGGTCTTTTCCGTGGAAGATTATTCCTCCTTACCCCATTAGGCTTGGCCATTTGATTTGATTTAGCTGATGGAATGTGAACAAAAGTGTATTGAGTTCTGCTCTGTACTCCCCTAGACCTGAGGATAACAATGCCCTGGCATGGGCTGCTCTCTTAGCCTGGTACTAGAAGGAAAGTGGCATAGAACTTAGCTGCAACTGATCTTAAAGGACATATAATGTAAGTGAGAAGCAAACCTTTGTTTCTGTAGGCCACTGAGAGTTGAGCGATATTTGTTATTGCAGCATAACTTAGACTATGCTGACTAATACACCAGACATGGCAGGAGATGATAGGTTGCTTTGAGATCAAACATCCCAGGATATATGGGAAAAGAGAGGAAGTACCTGCAGGTAAATCCAGAGATAGGGGTGCTTTATTCCCCCATCTTCCCTCTGCAGCCTTAACAGACTTAAAAGTGGGAAGGTAAGGTCAGTATTTGCCTCAAATTCTCCATATCTCCCCCAGCCATAAACTTAGAATCTCTTATAGGGATGGTATAAGGCCCAGTTTTTACTCAAATGCTGATTTTCAGCCTCAGGAGAAAATAATCTGTGCTGTTTAAATAGGAAAGGGAAACAGCTTTGGAAATGATTCCTTTGTGATTTAATCACCTTTTGTTCAGACTCTTCAAAGCTAACTCAAGGAGGATCTATGTATTGGCTCATGTACTAAATTTCCAGAAATATCTGAAGACAGAAGAGACATAGCTTTATTGCCACCCCCCCCTTCCCCTCTTTGGAGGAGCATGAGGCAGAGAGTTGCTTCTGGACCACAACACCTTCCGCATCACCCCAGACAACACAGTGGGAAGATCACTGATACCAACCCATGCCTATGAATACATGAGGAAAACTGATGCTCAGAAAAAGCACATACCAAAAATGTCTTGAAGTGCTGGAGCACTTTATGCTTTATAAAGCATGCTCATATCTTTTATTTTAACTGATTTCCTCACCTGCATAAAGAAAGCAGTCGTCATCCGGCTGGGGGTCAGGAGAGTAGGTTCTGAGTACTGCTGCCACCATCAAATTGTAGAGATGCCTTGTACAAGTCATGTCGTGTCTTGGAGTCTCAGCTTTACTGTCAGAAGGCCGGTTTCCACTACTCATTCTTTCATTCATTCAGTAACCACTTATTAAACACCTACCACATAATAGCCACCGTATGTAGATGAACAATACTAGTGAAAGGAAAATAAAGTATAGCAGACTAGAAAAATGACCATAGATTCTTTCCAACTCTGAGTAGATTTCCTTTACATCAAGAGGTACAGTGTTTCTATGTTTGGTCATGAGACTTTGACCAGTGGAATAGTAATAACTATGACATAAGCAAAGACTTGTAAAGCACTTGCACATTGGGACTTTTACTGTCTTTCTATGACTGGATCCTTGACACCACCATGTGTATAAGCTCAGCATGTCATGCTGGAGGGTGAGATTCATGTGGCCCAGTTACCCCTCCAATCCACACTGACAGCCTGTCAACCACCACTATGTGTGGACCATCCAGCCATCAACCAGCCCATCAACTGACCACAGTCACATGATAAAGTCCAGAGGAGATAAGCTGTGTCAATCCAAACCAGAAAAAGTACCCAGCAGACCCATCTAATCATGAGCTATATAAAATAATTGTTATAGTAAGCCATTCATTTGGGGGATGATTCGTTACACAGCAAAAGCTAACCAATGCAGAAAAGAAGACATTCATTGAGCCTATATGAAAGGTATGACACAATACCTTTTGTATAGATTTCCTTTTTACATTATTACTATGACTCCATGAGGTTGATACTATGCCTCCCCCTTACTGTGGAGGAAACTGAGGCTCAGAGAAGTTCATCCACTGGCCAGTTCAGAGAAGTAGTAGAGTCAGGAATAGAATCTGAAGCTAAGATGGATTTAACCCGCTAAGAGGGTGTGAAAGTCACTCAGTCATGTCTGACTCTTTACGACCCCATGGACTATATAGTCCATGGAATTCTCCAGGCCAGAATACTGGAGTGGGTAGCCTTTCCCTTCTCCAGGGGGGTCTTCCCAACCCAGGGATCAAACCCAGGTCTCCCGCATTGTGGGCAGATTCTTTACCAGCTGAGCCACCAGAAAAGCCAAGAATTCTGGAATGGGTAGCCTATGTTTTCTCCAGTGGATCTTCCTGACCCAGGAATCTAACCAGGGTCTCCTGCATTGTAGGCGAATTCTTTACCAGCTGAGCTACCAGGGAAACCCTAAGCTAAGAGGGTACCTGCCAAGAAAAGGCTTTGTATAGCAGGAGTGAATTCTGTCCTTTGAAGGCTCAATATTTTTGGTCTGCATGCTGCACAATCCACCCTGATGCTTCGCTTCTGGGAGCCCTAGTGAACTGTGTACCACATGGGGAAAGGAGTGTGCCGAGTCCGGAAAGCCTTAAAGAAGATGGGGTCATGATGAAAGGTATGAGAAGAAGGGGTCAAGGCAGTGCTTTCCGACTGAAATGCCTCAGAAGACCAGCTTCTGGGAGCCCGCTTCTAAATGATCAATTCCAATCTCATTATGACCGCAGCTGCCATTAACTCAGGAGCTAATTGCTATTAGCTTATAGAAACTCAAGAGGGTTTAGCTTCGAAAATTCCACGACACGGGGCCATCTCACTGCTTAAATGGCCACATTGCTGTTATTAATTCCTTTTGACTATTAGCTTATTACTGTTAAGTTATTACAACTTTGTATGAAGTCCTTGAACCGGATGCATGTCCTCCACACACATTTCATTACAGGGAGCAGAGTGCACCCAGAGGTTCAATATTTTAATTTCCATTTTTCTTTAAGGTATAGGCTTGTTAAGAGGCATCAGGAAGTTCCTTGATTTTGAAGACGGGTTCCGTTAGCAAAGGCTGTAACAAAAACCAGACTGTTCCACATTTTTATGCAGTTAAGGTCTTGGCAAATGTAGAGCGAATCTGGGTAACAACAAAGCTTCACACTGGAAGGGCCCTTGGAGACTCTAGTTCATTCTCATGTTACATTGGGGGAAACAGAATAGGAGATGGGTACAGGACTCAGGTACGGTAAGCTGCCTGGTCGTGATGACACATGACAGATGATCGGCCAGGTGACAGCATCTGAAATAGCCAGGTCTTTGTTTCAGAGAAGTTAAAAATCTGCTGAGGATGCCAAATATGCAAGATTACCGATGCTAGACAATTACAGCAGGGTCCCTCATATTCCCTGTGAAAGATACCTACGTGCTAAGAAATGGGCCAAGACGCAATCCTTTACTCCTTTTTAGCAGAAAGCCAGCTGGCTGGAGAGCTACATGACAGTGTGTGAAATTAGACATATTTAACGGGTGACGACAAGGTTCTTTCTGTCTATGTTCAGAAGCCTCCCTTAACGAGATCCAGTCAGTCTGTTAAGAAAATAAGAGTGTGTGCAATTACCAAGTTCACCGTTTGTTTTTGTTTAACTTTGTAGCTTCTTCCCAGGATGCCTTGGGGCATGTCTGGAAAAATGTCAGCACTTGTTGCTAAGCAGATTCTGGTCCTGGGAGATGTTCTCTTTTAATGCTCTCTGGAGTCCCTCTGTGGCCAGGTCCAGGGGGGAAGTTGATGGGCGTGGGGCCTGGGGAGCCGGGGTTCAGACGCTAGCTCTGTCTCTAACTGCCTACGTGACTTGGAGTGTTGTGGTCTCTCTCCGAGCCTCAGTTTTCTCCTCAATACAGCTGAGGAAGAGAAGCTGGGATGCCTTTGCTCCTCCAGATGTTGATTCTAAATCTCTTTTATTGGATTTTTTGCTCTTAAAGGCATGGAGAAGGGAGGTGATAAGATGGAGCACTCGGCAGCTTGAGTGCAGGGTTTTCTCCGAGGTCAGGGTTTCTGAAAGGATCCTAATTAAAGCCAAGTGAGCTCTTTTGAGTGAGAATCTCCACAGAGTTGCTTGTTGACCTTGGGAGGACTGCTGAATGAGAGAGAAGCGAAAAAAGAGAAAAGAGGAGGAAGAAGAGTCAGAAAAGGGTGCAAAAGCCACAAAGGAAAAGGGAGAGGAAGGAAAGGAGATGGAGTGGGGGCAGTGAGGAGGAGGAGATGGGCAGACGCGGGACAAGAAGAGAGATTTCTCAAGCAAAGAAGACAAGTTGGTAAAAATTAGAAGGGAGGAAAGGTGAGCAAAAGAGAATAAAAAGTAAGGAGGGACATGAAAGAAGATGGGATAATGGATGTGCATGCATCTATTGGTTAATTTCTAGAGCATACAAAGTAGAAATCAGCTTCCCTTGCAGTGTGGATGGGAGAGTGAAATGGGAGAGAATATGTCAAAGCAGGAAGCGCTTTATTTTTTGATGTCGACACCTGGACAAGGTTCTGACACACCACACATGCAGTAACAGGCAATTTTTGTTGGGGCATTGTGAACTCTGGCATGGGATCTCCTGCTTATAGTGGTCGGTGGTCAGCACTTCCTCAAACTTGTGATCATTCAACCGTTGTGCCTGTTTCCGCCCTCAGATTGTAACTGACATCGTAAGTCACTAGCTTTATGGAATCCCTGTAAATCCCTTCCCTCTTCCTGCCACCCTGAAGAGACACAGTCGAGTTTTACCTAGAAACAAAGCAGCCGCGCCCCTAGGGTAGGCTTGTGAGGAGAGAGCTGGGAGATAATCTCTCTCTGAGCCCTTTTGCTGGTGACCCACCTCCCAGCTGGAGCACAGCCTGCAGCTTAGCTGGCGCGGGGTTCCCCTCCATCTCGGATGCAGGAGGACCGGAGCTCTGGGAGGCTGGGGGAGGCAATTTGATGCGGCAGCTTTATCCCTTCCAGTTCTCTTGCTTCTGGGTCAGGTAATTTGGCCACAAACACCACACAAAGATGAAACGTGTTGTTCCCTCACTGCTCAGTGGCTCATCCCTCAGGCTCCAGAGGTCTCTAAGTTATGAAAACAAAGCAAAACACAGCCCATCTCCGGGCTGCCGAGTTCTTTCAACCTCTTAGTTTGCCTTGATTTTGTCAGTTCCACCCAGAGGACAGCAACAGGAGGTGATGGTCCAAGTTGGAAACGCTCGACGTAGTCTGTTTCTGAAGAAAAAGGATGGGAACTGAGATGAAAGCCAGAGTTGGTAAAGTTCTGGAAGGATTTGAACGGAGAACCCCAGCTTATCAGGAAGTCCTTTGTGTTCTGTAGTGCATCCAGCTTTCATCCCCAGCATCTGGGAGGTATGGATAAACAGGGACTCCAAGGAAGAAAGCTCTGCATATATTGTTCACCAGTTTCCATGGTGTAAATCCTCCCACTGTGGCCATTTCAGGGTGTCAGTAGTAATGTCCCCGAGGGAGGAGTTGGTGAGCGATATTCAGCTCTGTCAGTTCTGATAGAAAGGGGCTGCAGCAAACCACTGAGGATCGTTTCCTTGGACCGCTCTTCCCTCGTTCTTAACCCTTTTCTGTTCCTGAGAGTTCTTCTGAAATACAGGAATGACTGTAGTGCTTTCCTGGTTATAAACCATCAGTGGCTCCCCATTGTTTATAAAATTCAAAGTCTGTGGTGCAGCATTCAAGGCCTTTTCAACTTGGCCTCACTCTATTTGTTTCAATCAAATGCATGACCCATAGAATATAATTCATTCCTCCACCTGACCGTCCCTATCTGTTGTTCTCCCCTCACTGGACTGCAAGTTCCTTACGGTGGAGGGGGGGGTGGTGGTGGTGGTCTGTGCCTCATCTTTGCACCTGCAGTTCTTGTTCTATCGTACATGCTATTCAAATATGGAAGGAAGAAGGAATGGACTGATACTGGACCGTCTGTCTTTCCCCAACAGGTCATGCTCACCACTTCCTCCATGGTTTCTTGCTCTGCCCTCCTAACACTTTCTCCACCTGTCAAACTTTAGACCCATTTCTCCTTGATCCAGAGTCAGCTGTGTGTGGGATCTCTTCACATTTCCACCCAACAGCAGACTTTAGCTGAGCTCCTGCTATGTCCATATCCTGTTCCGTGTGCTGAGGATACAGCTTTGGAAAAGGCAGGCAGCATCCCGTTCCTCCTGCATCTGATGTCTGGTGGAAAGCAATCATCAAATGAATATAAGTGCAAATGCTATAGAGCAAAAGTGATTGGGAAAAACGAAAGCACAGAGGTGGTGACAGGGGTCAAGTGTTAGTCACTCAGTCATGTCTGACTCCTTGAGACCTCATGAACTATGGCCTGTCAAATTCCTGTGTCCATGGGATTCTCCAGGCCAGAATACTAGAATGAGTTGCCATTTCTTACTCCAGGGGATCTTCCCTACCCAGGGATCAAGTCTGCCTCTCATATGTCTTCTTCATTGGCAGGCTGGGTTCTTTACCACTCATGCCACCTGGGAAGCCTTGGTGATAGGCGTTCCAGCTTGCCAAGTATGGCCAGGGAGGCATCTACAGGGAGGTGCTCTGAGCGGGGGAGGTACCAATATTTTTTTCTCTCCTGTGGAGTCTGGCCTCTCCTATCTCCTCCAAACTTTGTCTTGTTGATTATCTCTTGTCTGTCCTACATATAATCAACCTGTCTCTTGTGTGGGCTTCTTCCTGTTAACCCAGTGGGCATGCCAATGAAAAATCCTGTTCTGATAAAAACAGCCCCTCCTTGATCTCATGCCCCTCTTCAGGTGATCTCTTTTCAGACTCCCCACAATGGTGAGAAAGTACTTGCAATGTGGGTCTCTACTTACCTGCCTTCCGTATCTGCTGTCTTCCCTGCTCTGACACCTGCTCCCAGCCTCCAGTGAATCCATTTGTGGCCTCAATCCAGGGACTCTGTGGTGAAATCCAGTGAACACGTCCTGGTCCTTACCTGCAGGATCTCTGCAGAATCTACCTGCTGCCATCCTCTCCTCATCTCTCTCCTCCAGTCTAGCCCTCTTCCTGGATTCTTTTTTTCACACACTTCCTCTTAAAAGCTTGCCTTCCTCAGGGTCTTCCCTTTCCTTTGGCCCCTCGTGTTGTTCAGCAACACACCCAAGACCACAGGCTCTGTCTACAAGCTAGTGAACCCACAGTCCACACCTACAACCAACTCCTGTCCCCAGAACCAGTGCCCCCAGACATCTCCAACCTTGGGCAGCTCCAGACCTCCAGAGTCAGTGCATCTGAAACTCACCACCTTATTGTCCAGATCAGCAGCTCTCCTGGGGTCCCAGCTCACAAATGTTCTACCAGGACCCCTAGCAAGGAAGCTGGACACCATCCTGGAGTCGTCTCCCTCCCTGGCTTCCCTTCCTTAATCTAGCAGTTCCTGCTCACTTTTACCTCCTCACTAACTTCCAAGCTCATTCCTCCATTTCCATCACTGAGCCCAGGTTTCCCTCCTCTATCAGGTCTCCCAGAACCAGGATGGTCTCTGATCCACACAGAACTGCCAGAATAATCCTTTGGAGATGCAAATTGGACCACGTCCCTCTCTGCCTTAAACCTTTCTTTCATTCCTCCTTGCCTGCAGCATGTGGTTGACACTCTTAGACCTGTGCTACAGCCCCTCCATCACCAGCGCCCGCCTGCATCTCCATCCATCCTCTCCCTCCTCAGTCTCTGCCTGGCACTCAGTATTCTGGGCACACCTAGCTCCTTGTCATTCTGGGCACTCAGCAGGCTGTTTAATGGCTCAGTTCCTTTGCTTACTCAGGGCCCTCTGCCTGGAATATCCTAACTTGGTCTGCCAAGCCTATCACCCAGCTCATCTCTCCTAGTTCTTCTCTCAAATCAGGATTAGCAGCTCCAAGCACCTCCTCCCCCTGCTGCATGCGACCCACCGATGTGGAGACAGTGCTCCCTGTTGTGCTCACCCCCTCATGCCCGCCCTGCCCCCCACATATCCTACACAAGATTGTAATTATCCATTCGTGCCTATCCCCCTCTCTGTCAGGGGAATATGCAGCCATGTCATATTCATTTTCGCATCCTCTGTACTTGACCCAGACTGTGCACTTGAAAAGCGGTTTATGCTCAAAAGGACAGTGCTAGGCACCTGGCTAAGAGGAAAGTAAGAAATGTATATTGAGAGGGAGGCAGGATAGCATGGTTCCTGCCTTGCTACTTAAGGGCTGCACATGCTTGGACAAGTCCTGTACCTCTCTGTGCCTCTGTTTCATCACCTGTAAAATGGGGTGTTAGCAAAGCATCTTGGCAGAGGGTCACTGGAGGATTAACTGGGATAGTGTGTGCTGAGTGCTTCCAGGGTCAGCTGGCACACAGTAGGACCTGTCCATTTACATACATTATTCCATTTACTTGTCATAACACTCTTGAGAAGTAGGTGTTATTTTCCTGTTGTTCCCTGTTAAGGAAACTGTTGAAAGAAGTTGAGTGGTCTCCCCAGGGGCCATGCTGCTCAGGGTGCATCTTTGCTGCTCCTCGACCTGACTCCAGGGAGCTCACTCGCTTCCTAGAGAGCAAGGGAGGACCTTCATGGAATCTGAAGGAGAGAGCTTCCAGCAAACCAGAGAAAACCCTGTGGAAGGAGCGGGCTGGGGAAGGACCAGCACTCACTGTCCCATGGGCAAATTTTCTTGTGTTTGCAGAGCAGATGGGGGACTTTGCTGGGCCATAATGGGTCAGAAAGGAAAGCTGTAGTGAGTGTATTTGGGGGATCTTTTCTCCCTATGGGGGTGATGTCTGAGCCGGTGACCTAGCCAGTGCCTCTGGAAAAGACCTGCTTCTTCCCATCAGAAGGGCTCCTGGGTGGGCAGGAGGTAGTTGTGGGGCCCAGTGGGAAGAGGGTGGGGTTGTCTGAGTGGGTCCACCTAGGGACCTAACCTGCTTCTGTCTTATCCTTGCCTGCATTTCTGCTCCCTAGGCTTCTTGTCTGTGAAATGCAGTCATCCTCACTATTTGCAGAGCTCATGTGCAGTGAAGAAAGTCCCTCTGTTTGGGATTTAGAGGCACATAGTGGAGATTCAACTCCTGTGAGGGTCTCCTATCCTTCCAGGAGCTTTTTCCATTGGAGACTCTGGCCTCCAGAATACTGGCCTCCCAGCTTGCTAGTCTAGGCACAGCCTGAACCCTAGAACCTATTCCCACTGGACTCTGGATCTGGGGGACCCGAAGACCTTCAGGAAATCCACCAACTGGGGAAATACTTTCCTTCACAAACAGTCAAGGTCCAATGAGCATGTGTTTCTGATTAAGGAGGAGTGGGCATATGAAGTGGGGGAGCGGGAGATCAAAGGGGCAGGGACATGGGAGGAAGCCTTTTGACAGGAGGTGGAGATGGAGATCTTTTTCATTCCCTAAGCAATAGGGACAAGAGATTTTCTAAGGGTGGCTCTGCTCCCAGCTGGGGCAGAGTAGTTGGTGCCAAGGAAAGAGTTCCAGACCAAGATCCTGGTAACATATTTCCAGCTCTGCCGTCACTCATTCCATGGCCTTAGGCCCATATTATTCCTTGCCACAAGGCTCTGTTCCTGTCATCAGTACAACAGGGAGACAATACCCAATTCATCCATTTGGTGTTTATGTGTATCCTTGGGTCAAGCCAGGAGCCAGGTGCTGGAGATGCAGAAAGGAAGGTCTCTGCCCACAGGACAGCTCACAGATGCCGGGGAACTAAGCTACAAACACATACCCAAGTGAGGCGAACGCCTGGTAGCAGTCTTGCTCAGGCATGAAGGGAAAGCAGAGGAAGGGACTTATAATAGGTTGAACGTGCCCTTGCTCAGCTGCTGAGTCATGTCCAACTCTTTGAGACCCCATGTACTGTAGTCTGCCAGGCTCCTCTGTC